TATATTATTAATTTATTAATTTATTTGTAAACATTTAACAACATTTAACATTTTTTAACAACATTTTAACATTTTAAAATAAATAGCATAGAACATAGTAAAACTATTTTTTTTAAGAAATAAAAATAAATAAATAATTAATTTCTTCCCCTTCCTCTTCCTCTTTCTCCGAAATAGTGTTTGTTGTAATTGTCGCACATGTTGAATAAAAAATTAAAAAATCTTCTTACCCTTTGGCGTTGTCCGCTTCTCCTGCCTCTCGGTCTCCATCCTATGAAACAAATATTATATTATAATATTAAGTACTTAAAAGTACATGCAATAAAAATTTAAAAAAAGCTACAAAAACTTTATACATAAAAGTATTATATATTATGTAACTTACGTTGAGAAGCATCGATGGCGGCGGCATGCGGAGCAGCAGCGGTAGAATCACGCGGAGAAGCAGCGGCGGCGGCGACGGTATTGGCGGAGGCAGTGCACGCGGCGGCGGCAATAGCGGCATGCGATGGAATAGCGGCGGCGGCAGCATGCGGAGGAACAGCCGCGGCGACGATACGCGAAAGAGCGGCGGCGACGACGGTACGCGAAAGAGCAGCGGCAGCGGTATGCGGAGGAGTAGAGGCGGTAGCCGTACGCGAAGGAGCGGCGGCGGCGGTAGCGGTAAAATAATAATGAATAATGTACAAAAATAATTGTAATAACTTTTGTGCTTGTCACTCAACTGACTAACGTTCCGCCAGACATCGCGGTTTTTATACATTGACTCAAGGTACTGTACATTTTCGATGTTATTTTGATTATAATTGTCGTTAATTACGTGATCATAGAGAGTTCTCTGTTGTTCTTGGACAGATGTAATATGTTTTTCCTCCGAGACGATCCGTTTAATTGTCATCTGAGGATGGGATCACGTGTTTGCGAGTTTCCAACGAACGATCTCACAACGAGCGAGAAGCGACCTTCGTGCGAGCGGAAAGAACAAAGCGCTAATGTAAAGTAGTAATAAAAAAATTTTTTGTATTTT